CTCTCTCTCTTTCTATAATAACTCTCAAATCGGCTGAAATATGGCAACAATGTATTCCAAGGGGGCTACAATTAGCCGCTCCTTTTTTCTGTCGCATTGTTGCCGAACTGTACGCCATATTCTATTGAAAAGGGATTGATTGGAACAAGCTTGAACACATCCCCGAGAATCTATTGAACGGCTGTCACATTTCTGGAAGCCATTTGACAGTTCTTGACGCAGAAATCTGAAAGAACCTAGCCTCAAGTCAAAGTTTGTAGAAGGGTTGCGTCCCTTTGGTAACTAAATCAACGCAAACCGCGCAAGCAATGGAAGCTGATGTTCTTAAGCGAGGTTATGAAGTTTACTTAACAGTGTTCAAAATTCTACTAAACTCAGATAAAATCGCCCAATGCCCAAACACCAATCGCTGCCGCAACGCCGCCACTGACTCGTCAACTGTCTTCTAGCCAGTCGACATGTGTGTACGGCGTTTTATTTTCGTAATTACTGCCGCTTTTCATCTTCACGTTCCGTTTAAAACGTCCATTTGTCACTTTTGGTTCACACGCAAGTCGCACTCAGTGACGGTCAGCTGACTGAAGCGTAATTCACATTTTTGCTGCCAGCCAATCGTTGATCAGCTCTAATTGATGATCGCGCAAAAAACATCCGCTAATTGACAGCTCATCAAACTTTAGCGAGCAAATGCGAGATTTAACGACCGCATCCGAACCGCCCCCCCCNAAACAACATCCCCATTACCATTGATGAAGATAAATGCGCCCCCGGACTTTATTATGAGCCTCTCATTATAGGAAAACGGGTGCAGAGCCCCTGCCGGGCTTTTGTTGGGGGCCACGCAGGGCCTCTGGTGAACGCCGACCACTCGAGGGGCCGTCAAGTGTGAAACGGGCCTTTTTATGCCGTCTTTTGTCCAACAACAGGTCTGTTTTTCGCTGCGCTCATAGAATTAATAAACTCTTCTTGTCCTTCGATTTGTCAAGCTTTGCTAGTAGAAGACTTGCCTTTGCTTCATTTCGAGTTTTGGGGAGCGATCAATGAGTAGAAGCTCGATTTCTACACGAAATCGTAGATAATTAAAATGTTGATATATAGAAAGTAGTTATGGCAAACAATACACTGATGTATTTTTTTTGCAAAAAAAGTCCATAATAATTTTATAGCGAATTTAAATTCAAATCAGATATTTTCCGCTAAAACCCCGACTCCGTATCGTCGGTTGCCTATCGCGATTGTGACGTAGCAGGTCATATCAACAAAGCGTCTCGTGTTTATTTTGTTGTTTTCGCAGCTTCGTTTTATTATTTAAGTTATTGTGATTATCATTAGGAACATGTATGGATCATAAAATAAGTGAATTTTTGATACAATGAAGACACACCCTATTGGGGCAAAAAGCCAACTGAATCTATCAGAAATCACCTACACTTTAACCCGGATCTGGAAGGCGTTGCCCCAAATATGGACTGGACACAAATGAAACTCTGACAAGCAAAAATGTTCCCTTAATTCGCCCCATCTGGCTACGCCCCTGATATTATTACATTAATTGAGTGAAAACCTGCGAGGCACTATATCTGTCAAGCGCGACGTCCCATAATGATCGTTGTGTTTGTGTAAACGAAAATTATGAACGTTTAAAAACCCATCGACTGTGTTGCCAGTGTTTGCCGGAAATCCAGTAACTGGGGACCGACGGTTCAAATATCATTCGGATGTGGAAAAACATAAAACCGTCAATGGTCGGCCACTTGTCGCGCTGTTTTTGGAATTTTAATTTGGAAATTATGGTCCCGATTCGTTCCATGTGGAGGCAGTGACAGAAATGCGACCATGGAACCACTAAATTCCGGGAATCGAGCAAGGGACACAAAGCACATAAATTCCTGGAACGCTTGACGGCTGCGACCCCATCATCATCGACATGTTAAACCGAAAGAACTCATCGAGTGCTTAATTTCACTTACTTTAACTTTTATGAGCATCTTTACAGGACTTTAGTCACCGAACTGCGCAATTAATTTATCTAATCATAACCCCACTTCGGAACATTAGTTTTCTTTGTCGATGAAATGATCATACGCGATCCGGAGCACTATGCAGAAAACCTGCAGATTAATTTTCCTGACTGCGTGTAATTGTTATTATATTATTTTCTTTCTCGGGCCCTAGTCACGGTGTGAAAATTTTTGTATATCGTTTATTTGGTTACGTTTTGAATTCAAAATTGAAGGTTTCAAGACAGGAAAGACCTAAATAAATATAATGTTTACCAATTATGAGTTTGAATAAATTTTAAAATCTGATGATGGCGCTGTCGTCTCGCCGAAATGTAACGAAAATATTTTTGTTTCCACGCTGTGACTGGAGCTCAGGAGAGAAAATAATTTAATACCAACTTCAAATTAATTTCCACGGCTTTAGGGCTTTGGTTTGTTACACATTATACCAACATTTTAAGTTTTGAAGAGCACAACTCAAAACCTAACCGCAAACACGCTGCAACTAAAACGCTAAGAGCTGCAGATAAATGAGCTTTTGACACTCGATTAACGAAGCGATGGGAAATGGAAAAACTCTTGTTCGTTTGGTATGAACGGAAAGTCTAGGAAGTATTCCTTTGCAGTTGGCGCCTCGATGGTTCATAATCCAGCGCAAACCTTGCACATTTGGCCCGTTTGATTCAAATCCGAGCCAACTAAAAGGCACGTTTTCAGCATCGGAAGAAACAAACAAACACCCTGACTGGGGATTTTGTCTTTTCACATTGTTTGAAGCCTTTGGAAAGGAGCAACAGGCACGCCCCTGAAAGTACTAATTAAGATCCATTTGCGCTTGTCGCTAATGTGTTTCAACACTTGTTGCAAGCGATAATGAGTCTATAAATAGATAACTGTCTTTTTTCACTTCCGCTATCCCCAGTTTTTTTCGTCTGTTATCAATTTGGGTGGATTTTCTACTGATCGGAAAAAACCGCTCTGGATGTTCATTGAGCAGCGCAACAGAATATCGGTTTACTGGCGTAGTGCAGATATCATGTATCCAATTGGCACGTGAACGTCCTCCATTGCTTCCAGGGTGAACAAACTATCGATTTGTCTTCCATTACGAGTCGCACCTCTCTATTTGTCCAGTTTGGAATACTGTGGTGTAAACTGGGATAGTTTTTGAGTCTCCGAAGACGTCTTATTATTTTACCACTTCAACATTCAGAAAATTGTATAAAAAAAGCGCAAAGACTTGTGTGTCAAATCGCAATTATTTGGAGAAAAGTGCATTTTAGTGGTTGATGATGAATGTTGATCCGTTCCCTTCTCTTCGAAATTTCAAAATCGGTTGTTAATTGAGCTCGTTTTGTTGGAGATCGTGTGGAACATTCCGGGTTAAACCCTTTCTCTCTCTCTTTAAATTTCTCGGAGGCAAAATGAGCAAGAACGCTCATTTGTACGTCATTCTAGAGAGAAATAAATGGCCTTTTTAGCAAGTGAACCATCGATAAGGAAATGTTGGCAGTTTTCTCAAAAAATGCTTGGATGGTTCCGCCCTTTTTTACAGTTCAAGCGCCTTTTCAAACTTCTGGCAAAACCGCCCGTTTCTCATTTTGCCATGAGGTTTCAAATGAATCAAACCAGCGCTTATTATGAGATCTGGACGCTTAAAATCTGCGTGTCCTGGAAGAAGCGGGGCGGTCGAAACTGGCCTCCGTGATCACCAGATCCTCCTCCTCCTCCGGATTTTTTACGCTGATGTGCGGGAGTAGTAGAAGTTTTGGAAGTAAATTTCCGGTCTTCTCGGTCGGTATCTTCAGTCCAGTTTAGGCCTGGGTAACACTGTGTTRAGTTGTTGCCGCTCTCTGAGTTAACGAGTTATAACTCATCGGTTAATGAGTTCATGAGATAATTCATTTYTCAGAYCCGAGACTGGAATTTTCACATCTAAAAACGGGTTATTTACATTTTTTCCGAGTAAAGTTTTACTAGTTTGTTCAAACAACTCAAAAAAAATTGTTTTGATTTTCCCAGCAACAGAACTGAGTCCAAAGAACGTCGACAATTTTTTGCATAAAAGATTCAGTTTGCCAGTATTTCACGGCAAAACGGTAGGAAAAACGCGGTTTTTCTGTTTAGAGACAGCGTTGTTTAGAACTATGGACCTAAAAGTGAAGAAACTCCAGTTTTCAAGAGAAAAGAGTCATTGTCAAAGGGATTTCCAAACTTTTTACAAAGCGACGAAGGCTTCGAAATTTATCTCATAATTTTACGCGGAAAATACCTAAGATTGTCAGTATTTTTAAGTGGAACTTTAGAAAATTGAGCATTTATAAGAAAGTCACTTGGCTAGAACTGGAAAATTCGGAAATTTAAAGAATTAAAAATATTGTGAATAAATTGCCTTTAAAATGGATCTAAAAAAAGTTTAAAAAATGTCATCAACATTTTCCCAGTAATGGAACTGAGTTACTGCGCCGGTGCGTTGGGGTGGCGCACCAAGCCGTCTGCGCAGCACAGCGCCAACTCCTAAAAATTCCCTGAGTTACCCAGCCCTAGTCCAGTTATTACTCCTATTTACACAGTTTTAGACTACATCTGCCCTCATCCGACTGGGGTGGATTTGAAAAGTTCAGCGGAAACTGTCAGTATTTTCCCAACTCAGACAGGTGACAGTTGCTGCTTGGTTAGACCCTCGCCCCGCTGGGCCATTTGACAGCATCAAAAACACTATTTAAGAAGCGGGCAAACGGTGGCCAATGCGGCTGTTTTGATAAGTCGGAATGAACTCGTCACGGGGATGTCAAGCCGGTGGTTTTCACAAAATCCATTAGGGCCCCGTCGAGACGACGGCAAGTGTCGTAGCAGGCCTTTCGACGCGTTTAATGGCGCTTTCCAAAGACAAAGACGACCATTTGGCCGGCACATGTTGGCCCGAACCGAAAGCAACGTTGCCGATTCGGTGCTGCTGATTTTTGCTTTTAAACTGTTTTTCTGGTGCAATTGCAGACTGACCGACCCGCCAATATCGCCGCAGAGTGGACACACGTCCAGTTCATGTGGCTCGCCGCCCACCCTTGCGCACGTCAATGGCCACGCCGCCCCTTCAGACGGTCTGGCCGGTGCCGCCCCTGCTTGTTTGGCGAATTTTGCAGTTGCCGCAGCCAATTGGCCGCTACTGGACACTCAAGGTATGGATATATTTCTTTTCAAACGACTGGAATGAACGGTTTTTGGATCAGATGATTTAGGTTAAAACGACATGACGTCACCTCTATAATTAGCTGTCTGGTGGTCCCACTAGTTTGCGGACGCCCGGTATTAACTTAATATTTCATAATTCACCAGCACACTCTTTTAGATGATTTCAGTTCAAGTAACAGCTGCGGTTAATACGTTAGTTCGTCAGTCTAAAAAATGTATTTAACCTGGAGCAATTACTGTAATTTTAATTTTTGTAATTTTTTTGAAGGACCAAAACCACTTGAAATAAACTGGTAACAGTATTCTCCACAAATGTCAGTCGATTTGGTGTCACGGCCATTTGCACCAGTCTTCCTTAAAACTTATTCTTACCTAGGGATAACTTTGGATTAAGGTTAACCCTAACTACAGACAGCTTTGCACGGCTGTCAATTAAGTGATACTTAGCTAA